TTGGATTTCCCATTTTTGGGATTTTCCTGTTTTTCCTGTTGGATTCCCCATTTTTGGGATTTCCCTGTTTTTCCTGTGGGATTTCCCCATTTTTCCTGTGGGATTTCCCATTTTGGGGATTTTCCCATTTTCTCTGTGGGATTTCCCCGTTCTTCCTGTGGGATTTCCCATTTTTGGGATTTTCCCATTTTCTCTGTGGGATTTCCCCGTTCTTCCTGTGGTATTTCCCCATTTTTCCTATGGGATTTCCCATTTTTCCTGTGGGATTCCCCATTTTTGGGATTTCCCTGTTTTTCCTGTGGGATTTTCCCGTTTTCCATATTCCCACCCTGTTTTGGGGATTTCCTATTTTTCCTGTGGGATTTCCCATTTTTGGGATTTCCCTGTTTTTCCTGTGGGATTTCCCCATTTTTCCTATGGGATTTCCCATTTTTCCTGTGGGATTCCCCATTTTTGGGATTTTCCCATTTTTCTTGTGGGATTTTCCCATTTTCCTTATTCCCACCCCATTTTGGGGATTTTCCCATTTTTCCTATGGGGTTTCGTGTTTTTCCTGTGGGATTTTCCTGTTTTTCCTGTGGGATTCCCCATTTTCCCTGTGAGATTCCCCATTTTTGGGATTTTCCCATTTTCCTGCAGAGATGCCGGCGCTGATGGCCCTAAGGAAGAGAGCTCAGGGGGAGAAGCCGCTGGCCGGGGCCAAAATTGTGGGGTGCACGCACATCACAGCCCAGACCGCGGTGAGACCCCAACCCCGACCCCACAGCGACAGCCCAGTGCCCGCCCCCTAAAACCGACCCCAGTTCTGATGGGCAGAAACCCCAAAAATACTGAATTCTGATTGGCAGAGACCCCAAAAATACCCAATTCTGATAGCAGGTGCCCCTGGAGCTGATTCCCAATCCCTGACCCCACTCCCCGGAGCTGATTCCCAATCCTGATCCCAATCCCCGATCCCAAACCTTGATCCCCTTCTCCTGTGCCCCCAGAACTGATTCCCAATCTCCATTCCCTCTCCCCTATCCCAAACCCTCATCCTGCTCCCTGGAGCTGATTCCCAGTCCCTGAGTCCCAAATCCCAATCCCTGATTCTCAATTCCCAATCCCACACCCCAGTCTCTGATCCCACACCCCGATCCCCAATCCCACACCCCAATCCCCAATCCCACACCCCAATCCCTGATCCCAATCCCACACCCCAATCCTGATCCCATACCCCGATCCCAAACTCCTGATCCCCAATCCCTGATCCCAATCCCCAACCCCAATCCCCGACCCTAATCCCCAATCCCACACCCCAATCCCAATCCCCATCCCAATCCCCAATCCCAATTCCACACCCCAATCCCAATCCCATGTTCCCCGATCCCAATCCCCAATCCCAATCCCCGATCCCTGATCCCAATCCCACACCCTGATCCCACATCCCAATCCCTGATCCCACAACCCAATCCCGCATCCCGATCTCAAATTCCTGATCCCCGATCCCAATCCCCGATCCTCAATCCCCACTTCCAATCCCAATCCCAACCTCCTGTGATCCCGCTGTTCCCGGAGCTGATTCCCGATTTCTGATCCCACACCCCAATCCCCAGTCCCACACCCCTCACTCTGACCCCAATCCCAATCCCCTGTTCCCACTCTGACCCCGCTGTTTTTGGGGTGCAGGTTCTGATGGAGACGCTGGCGGCACTGGGGGCTCAGTGTCGTTGGGCCGCCTGCAACATCTACAGCACCCTCAACGAGGTGGCGGCCGCGCTGGCCGAGAGCGGTACGGG